TTACATAAGCCATTATCAAAGATGTCAATTACAACATAGTAAGCAATATACGGACAAGACAGTGATGATAGTCTGTGATTGTTTACATAGATGATCTCTAAGCAACGATAAACACGTGCATATAAGAAATAAATCGCACCGCATCTCATGACGTCACACATGACCACACGAGAGTGAATCGGAGAATATATATATAGTGAGAGAGAGACACAGAGAGGGAGATCATAGAGGTTCCTGATAGCTTTATATATATATATATATATATATATATATATATATATAGTAGAGAGAGAGAGAGAGAGAGACACAGACAGAGACAGAGAGAGACAGAGAATATCAAATAGATAATAATATAAGATGCATATATATATATATATATATATATATATATATATATGATATATTAATAGTTATATATATAATATATATATATATATATATATATAGAGAGAGAGAGAGATAATAATATATATATATATATATAGAGAGAGAGAGAGAGAGATAGATAGATAGATAGATAGATAGATAGATAGATAGATAATGAAAATCTATGACAAAGTTAAATTTTTTTCCTGTGACGCGTTTCGGACTTTTGGACTTCATTAGACAAAAGTTATATTTCCGTTAATGTCGTTACACATGCATATGAAATAGAGGGGACGTTGAAATTTTGACATTAAATCATCTTTTTAATATGTGTTTAGGTCTATGGCCAAGACAATTTTATTTTGTTTATGTTTTTATGAAAATAATTCTTTGTCACAGATTTTCCTGAAATTGTTCTGATATATAAAAAATGTATATATAGTTTTTTATATATATATATATATATATATATATATATATATATATATATATATATATATATATATATATATATATAAGCCGTTATGCATTGTGGACGAAGTCAATAACGTACGTTACTGATATCTGTGTTAACACCCTATATATATATATATATATATGTAGTGAACATAGAAGTCAACACTTAGAGGCCTCTAAGTGTTGACTTCTATGTTCACTTTTATATTTACACACGCCTCTATCTCTGATATTGAGCACTTTATCCCATAAATATAGCACATCTTAAGACTATATTTTTCATATATATATATATATATATATATATATATATATATATATATATATGCACGCTCTATCCCGGCCTCTGGAGTTATTTTACCTCATAAATTTTGTATAACTTAATACTATGTTTCATGCTAACGGATTTCGACAAACTCCAGTTTGTGGTATCAAAAGCCCCTAAACGCCATGTTGAAAGTTTACATTAACGACTAGTCGTAATACCTTATTTGACGGATAAAGAAGAATTTTTAATATCTTTAAAGCCTGCAGAAATGATCAGAGAGCGTCTTAGACGTGAGGAATTTAGTGGAAGATGTTTGGAACCTCAACTGCATGTCATATAAGAGCAAACTTAAGCATTTATCTTGTTAATATGTTTACCTATCAACAGAGAATTTATTTTAAAAGCCAGTCTTTGTGAAGTTATGAAGTTTTTAGATCTTATAGCAACTAGAAAATCTGCTTGGTTAGTAAGCTAAAACCTCCTTCACAGAGAAAAGCACAGGTGCGATCGGTTAGATTATAAGTTGTATAATGTTAACTCCATGGTGAGTTCCACGTTGTCTTTAGGGAACATCACAAAAATATATTGATATTTTGAAGGCACATGTAGAGACATAGTTAAAGAAGAAGCCGGTATTTCTTCATCATATTTGACGAAACAACTAATGAATATTTCAATAAAATGTTTCGAAAGCACTGACTTAAAGTGGCCCTTTTGTTCACCTGAAATGAAATCGCTCGATAACGTGTGGTGCATTCTGGATAGGAAAATGTTACATTTCTGGATGGATGTTTCCCAGCGCTATTCTGGATGCTTTGTGTCTCATATGAAGAAATAAAACATGTCAAAATACTTCTAAAACTAGTTTCAGAAAATGGAAAATATATTTCTCATTACTCTTGTTTTTATAAATTTGTTTTCATTAAAATGAAACCTTAAATCGAAGTATTTGTGGTGATGTATTATCGCTATTATATACTTTTCTATTTGATCCAGCAATGCTAATCTCAGTTATTATACTTACTACGTTTCGACCTTTCACCAGCCTTATTCAGGTGTCTGTCATCGTAACTGGTAAACTTTTGAATAAAACACTTTATTCAATTCACGCGGGTAGATTATTCTCAGTCTGCTTTCCATAGTTAGGGGAGATAACTCCTATGTCAAACCCAATCATATTCTCCTTTACGTCGTTTGTCCTTTTCTTCTACTGAATATGTAACTTTTCAGTACTACCACACCCAGAGACTGAACTCACAACTGCCTTGGTAAACTTGTCATTTAATGTTTTCCTATATGAACACTTTCAATAAACTGATCACCCTTTTAACTCAAAGTCGCTTAAGTTACTTAATGTTAATGCTAAAATGATAATACATGATTTTATTAGTAAACTGTAAAACTTCTGAATTTTTTTTAAAAAAAGGACTGTATTTGAACTCTGGTCTCACGTACGCACAAGATCACCAAACTAAAAACACCTATGTCGCATTCAGAACGAATGAACATTCTGTTAAATCTCTCAATAAAATGTTTATACAATTTTTTAACGTCACCGAGGATGTTATATTTAGCATTGTTGATCAACCTGTCAATATTGTTTGGGCAAAGGTCCATATAATTATGTCATTTAGCAAGTTAACTTTGGAGGCTTCTTGTAATAAATTTAGAGGTATTTTCCCAGTTGATCATTGTTTAATCTTTTAACTAACGTTGAACTTTGTTCCGTTATTGAACAGAGTGTAAGCAATAAAACTTTCATTTGAACAACGTGAGAAAAATGTACTCAAAGTCGATCTCAAGTGCCTTGTAAAACAGGACCTGCTTATTGCGTACTGAGATACCAAGAGGATATATTTTCTCTCTTTTTATCCCTGTGTGCGCGCGTTTAATAAATGTTATCTGCGTTGGCGGGATTATGCACACATTAGAACAAATGCACACGCACTCACTTAACTCGGGCTGCAAATAAATACCATCAGGTTTGGTTTTTATTTGGAAGGTAAGTACTTCTAGATCTGGAACTGACTTATCCAACTAGAAAGTTAATAGCCTAAGTTATGTTTAATCACTTTATCCAAAGCAAGGTAATAAAGCTACTAAGGGTTACCGAGGAGAGAAAGGACAATAAAAGAACAAGATTAAAAAGACGGTAAACAATGGCGTAGCATTTCAGTTTTTGAAAATCATAGTTAGCAGGAATGCAGGAAGCGAGAAGAGAGTTTTACAGGCAATAAGTCCGAGAGAAGAAACTATAAGAATAGAAATTATGGTTATATCTAACTACTTCAACTGTAAATTGATGAGACCTAGCTACCAAACTAGTAAATTTAAATTCGTAAAGTCGATGTATCAGAAAGGAAAGCTCATCGGAACAATTACCATGAAAACGTTTATAGAAAAGGCACAGGGAAAATACGTTATGGTGGTGTGAAAGTGATCAAAGCCGAGATGCCAGGTCAGGGCCAATAACATTGCAAATTATTCCTTGAAGTTTATCAAGTATCTCTAGATACATAACAGAATCAACAAACCAGATTTGGCAGCAATATTCTATGCCTAGACAATTTGTAGACTTGGCCTTGTTCAAATGCTGCGCTCACCATAGATGCTGTATAAACCACAGGTGGGTTCTGTGGGTGTTGAATAAACTCAAATGTGCCTGAGCGGGCGTCTACATCAGGGATTAGCTATCCGCCCTAGTAGACAGGTATACTCTGATACGAGTGGTCATTATAATAGTGATGGTGATATTAGCCGTTTTTTTTTTAATACAGAAACATTCGCAATGAATTGACCGAACAGATAGTGCTTTTGTCGGTTGAAATTTATAAAATCTTTCTCTTGAAACAATATTTCAGGAAAATAGGTTTCTCACTGTTATCCTTCTTTCCGGTATTGATGGGGGTTTTCTTACTAACCTCTTGTTTGAAGTCATGTGGAATGTCACACATTTTGAATATTTTCTCTTTGAGTCATATGTGCTCTCCAATTTAGCTGTTGCTAAAAGTTCTCAACTGATGTGGTTTCTGTTATTTGGTACAGATCTTTGTTAGACAAACCACATTAACAATTATTGTATTTCTTCTTTTTTATCTTAATTGTTTATATAAGCTGTTCTATTACAGGTAGGATTTCTTAAACAAATGTTTCAAAAATGACATATCATTTGATACGACACTGAAGCAGTAATCACATAAGCAAAGATTAGGCTTTTATTATCTCACTGATTTATCACTATAGCGTATTTTATCCGTCCTCATTAAATTCTAGTTATTTTATGTACCACTACCAAACTACTTATTCCTCGCCTGTAAACTTTATTATAGTAAATAATTTTTACACTATTTACATTATTCGGACTATTGTCCTCATCTTTGTCGCCATATTTATCACAACGTTTCGGCCCTTGTACGCTCCGGCCTTCTTCAGGTGGTTGGAATGTCGAACTGAACCCTTTATTTCGCTCACTGGGGTAGACTGTTCTAGTTCCACGTGCCATTGTTAATGGATGTCAGTTATCAGTTATCTCTTGTTAATTTCTCTCTCCAAGTTTTCCACTGCCTTAACCAGGTATTGAACTCACACTCTTTGGGTCCTGTCACTGGATCTAACTAACGCCTTTATCCACTGTGCACAGTGGATAAAGGCGTTGGTTAGATAACTGTCATCCATTAAACAGATTAAGGTGGACAGAACAAAAGGTTTATTATATGAGGGGTAGTGAAAAGTTGTGAACTCTCCAAGAAGTAAAACTGATATTTAGTTATTTAGCCCGATTTTGCAAAGAGCGCCGAGCTGAGGAATTTCCAGTGCGCCTTCCTGCTAATGACTTTACACTCGTAATGCATTGGAAATCAAGAAGAAAAGAATTCAGGCAGATTTTATCAACAAAACAGATTCATAATACTTAATAAATTCCTATGTTAAAAGACAATGGAACCAAAATGCTCGTTCCATTGCCTCTTAACCCTAAACCTGCTGTGAGTATAAATAAGCAAATAAAAAAAGGCTCCATACCATCAAATACCGTTTGGTGTGCTCCATTGACTCGCGGCGATGATGACGGCGTGGACATCTCCTCGTAATCCCGTGAGCATAGCGAGTCGGATACCTTCCGTTCATCGTTAGCGGTAACCGTATCCACCCGGAAGCCAGCATGGTTGTATGTGTCGTTAAGGTATCGTTGCAGTATTGTTTGCTTGAATTTCGGGTGTGACATCAGCTCCTGATCGATCATATCCAGAGGGTCCGACGATGAGGCGTTATTGTCATCCAGAGAACGACATGAGAAAGGCAGGCGTCGATCAAAGTCCAGAGACTGACCACTCTCACCCTGATCATTCGTCGGTGAATCGCCTTCTGATAACAAATCCGAATCTAGGGGGAATGTGGTTGAATTACGTGTGGCAGCGCCTGTTGAAGAACAAACGAAAAAAAGATGGGACATGGAATGTTGAGAGATTTCAATGGAGACATTATTCATTAAATGTGTGCGAAAGTTTACAGCGTTTTTATCTTAAAAATAGTTTTCTATTGCTTAGTCTATCTCCATTTCTCTTTAAAAAAAGGGTCTGGGAACTTTTGCACACATAAAATTCTTCGACTATATATATATATATATATATATATATATATATATATATATATATATATATATATATATATATATTATGAAATGGACAAAATCCGACTATTATGTTAAGACATTTTATGTTTATACATTTTTTTTTTATAGATACAAATATTTAAGTAAATACTTTGTTTATAATAAACAGTATTAATAACATTTACCGGCCTGAATGTCCGAGAAATTTTCATAGAAAATATTCGTTCTCCGACAATAATCGAACCTGTATCCTATATGGCTAAATGACGGTTCCGTATAGGATACAGGTTCGATTCCTGTTGGAGGACGAATGGATGACAAAGTGGAAAAGGCTATCGTGTGATGCGTCTCGTTCTTTAGGATATAAATTTGTTATGTTGGTGCAACTACATACGAATGAGGGATGCTAGGAATTTAAAAAAATATAATTCCACCAGATTCTTTTTTTCTTTTTGTTTCCATCACTTTTGTTATTTGATAAAATAATAATGTATAAAATATTGTATACCGCGCTAGCATACATTCCGGTAAAAATGTCAAATTATAGTTTCTGCCATCATCGAATGACTTTAGGCAATATAAAATACAAAAACATCACTGTTCTCTTTCAATATTTCTGGCAATTAAAGAATAAAGCTAATACACACCTTTTATCACGTTAGATATTATAGCAAGAGCCGAATCTTAGAAAGCGAAAAGAAATAGATGTAATTTATGTCTTGTTGAAAAATTAGTTATCTTTAAACACTTAATTAATTAAACAAGAGAAAATTATTAAACAAGAGAAATAAATTGATGGTTACATTTAGGCATAAAAATAAATATATGCTTAAATGCGTTGATCCAGATTAATTTTTAATGTAAATTATGTTTTTCGTTTGTTTGTTTTTTAAGGATCAAGTAATATCCCGTTATGCTTAATAAAAACGAATATTCACAACTTTAAAATTATTTTTTTTTTAATAAATATATATACAAATCATGTTTATTTTACATGGCAAATATATTTTTTAATAAAAATATCTGTAAACCCAGTATGTAACTGTGCCAACTTAGCTATATCCAGATATTTTTTATTAAAAGTTAAATTACGTAATAGTCAGCCTATATTCAGTACCTGAAGATTGCACTGAGCATGAAACTCTGTATCGTTCTATTGGTGAGGGATAATATGTATATTTATTAATATACACTTAACAGCTCTGTTTTAGTACATCGGGCATTGTTTTATTAACATCAGCACTATATGCTATATATATATATATATATATATATATATATATATATATATATATATATATATGCTAATAAATATGTAAACTAATAATCAAAAAATAACAGGAAATATAGTCTCCTTCTATGTCAATGTACTTAGTTCATCACTTTTTCATAGACCCCATGGAGAAAATATTATACAGTGAAAATTTCACATCCACATTTCGCTAATAAGTGTCAGGCAACGAATTTATTGATCCGTTCCCGTATATCAAAGAAAAAAAATGGATTTCTAAAGAATTAATGGCTTTTATTTTTAATCCAACTTCAAAGTTACCAACTATAATAAGGTTTGAAGTAACACGACACAAAATGTATAGACTTTGTATAACTTACAGATTCCTTAATAAACTTAAAAGGAATTTAGATAATCTCACTAGAAAAATTATAACAAACATTTCAAAACAATTAAAAAAATGTAAAATATTATTACGTGGAAAGTAGGATTCTACAAAGAGAATGTAAACCTGCCCCCCCCCGCAATACAACAGCGAAAGTTCTTGAAATTTAAAGAGTATGCAATGATCATAATGTTTGACCTGAAAAATTATGTTTTAATAATAATAATAATGTGAAAAAAAAAGATCAAAGAACAAACAAAAAGGGGCAATCTCGAGGGCAAAATGAAAGCGAGAAATTGTGGAAATAACATGTGAGTTGTCGATACGAGATGAGATCTCAAGAAATTCAAATGTTTCAACATAGAAAATATGGAAGGTCAAAAATGAAATATAAAATTAAAGCATTAAATGAAATCCCACCAATCAAGGAAATAGAAACTGCAATGAAAGGCGTAGAGAACAAGAAGTTTTACAGGAAAACTGGAAAAGTATTTTTAGAAGTTAAAAAATCACCATCTATTAAAGAAGTCGAAAGGAATCTAATCCCAATGCAGAATGGATTAAATAAGAACAAGAAAGAATGAAGGATAAACCTGTACAAAAATGGAAAAAATATAGTCAAGAATAATGTTAGGCAAGCTTTAATCACAACAATGGAAATTTCCAGGAAATGACAAGGAACCCAATTTTTGGCTCTATCATATGTCATCAATTCATAAAACCCTTGCACAAACTCTATCAATGCTTATTAATAATCCGTATGAAGTCCCAGAATGGACCACTGAAGATATTACATATCTCCTACTAAAAACGGATGAAACAGATAATCCTCAAAATTATAGGCCAATAACATATCTGTTCACCACGTTTAAATTGATCACGTCTTTCCTGACGAAACGTATTTATTCTTTTCTCGGGGTAAACAACGTTCTTCCACTGAACAGAAGGGATTCCGGGGAGGTTCATATGGTTACAAAGATCAACTATTGATAAACAAAATGTTCCTGGAAAATTGCAGGAAAAGAGGTAGAAATCTCAGCATAGATAGATTACCGTAAAGCCTTTAATAGCGTACCAAACTCTTAGATTGTTAAGGCTTTGGAATTTGACAAATTTTCCTCGGTGGTAGTAAATTTCCTTAAACACAGCATGGGAATGTGGAAAACCACAATATACCTAAATCACAGAAAAGGCACTGCCACCCCTAACCGCCTGAATACCCAAATGAGGAAACTTTCAAGGAGACTCTCTGTCACACTTTCTGTTTTGTCTATACTTAATTCTTTTCACGTATGAACTAAACAATAAAGCTACGGATACGAATTAAACAAGAAAGTATTCAATCTCCTACTCTACATGGATGATCTCAAACTCTTTGCCAAAGACGACAATGAGTTGAAGGGTTTCATATATACTGTTAAATGTTTCAATGACGACATAACGGATTTAGTAACATTCAAAAAAGGAGAATTACTGTAACACATTCAATTGATCTAGATTTTGTCGCAAAGATTAAGGAATTTGAATAGGAAGAAACTTATAGATACCTAGGAATCAGCGGAGGAAATGTAATAAAGCATACTTAAATGAAGGAGAAAGTAAGAAAAGAATTCTACCGGCGTGTGCATCCGGAGTTAAATACCGGGATGAATTCAAAATATTCAGAATATCTGCCAGAAACACTTTGACTGTTCCTGTAGCGCAATACGGTTTCAACATCTTTAACTGAAGCATAACTGAAATTAAGCAAATGGATGCCAAAACGAATATGACGGTTCCGTATAGGATACAGGTTCGATTTCTGTCGGAGGGCGCATATTTTGTATGAAAATTTCTCGGACATTCAGACCGGTAAACGTCGTTAATACTGTTTATTATAAACAGAGCATTTACTTAAATATTTGTATCTATAAAAAGAACGTATAAACATAAAAATGTCATATATATATAGATAAATAGACGTCGTTAAACGCAGAATCCAAAATACAATCCAGAAATATTTTTACATGTTTTCGGGGTTCGTTCCTGACACTAAAAGAAAGTAAAATATCCATATAAACATATACCCAAAATACAATTGTTGCAGCTCAACACAGCAACTCATAACAAATGATCAAAATGCCCTCCGCTTGCTTTTACACACGCCTGCACCCGTCGGATCATTGACTGCCGGTCCCTTACAAATACCCCCACACGGTGTCGAATGGTTTCGCAGGCCCCAATGACACGTCGATGAAGCGTCTCTGCATTATTAATGTCTGCTGGATAAACCAATTATTTTAGGCAGCCCCACAGATAAAAATCCAAAGGGGAACGTGAAGGCCATATTTCGATTCCCCTGTACCTATGCATATTTCATGGTAGATGTCAGCCAGTACATCACGAGCGATGTCACTAAAATGTACTGGAGCCTCACAGTACATGAACCAGATGCGTTTTCGTGTTAGTGGGCGTTCATCTTCTAGCAGGTCTAGTAATTTGTAGACAACTCTTGTAAGACGAGGTGGGAAAACATATGGACGTACCAGACAATTCCAGACCACATATTAATCGTAAGCTGATGCCTAGACTGTATTGTACCATGGAGATTCCGATCCACCCACAAATGTTGGTTGTGTAAATTTGTTATTCCATCTCTTCCAAATGTTGCTTCATCCGTAAACAAGACTGAAGAGATAATCGGCAGTTTGTGCAATAAACCACCGTCAAAAGATCTCCTGTAGTGAGTGATCAGAAGACAAAAGATACTGCACACGTTTCAAAGGATATAGACACAGGAGCTGCTCATGAAGTACCCTGTATGTGGTACTATGAGATGTACGACATGCTAATGCCACTTGACGATTTCTGATATCTGGATTGTCTCCGTGGCCAGGCGTACGAGCGGATCTCGGTTTTCCTCGATCCATACTTTATGGTGCCACGGATCCTGTATCAGAAACGCAACGATAAACAGCGGCAAAGATTGGATGAGTCAGCTGCCTTCAGTCTGGAAAGCAATCTGATACAACCGTGCAGCCTCGCATCCGTTACCATTCGCGCGACCGTATGTAAAAATCATATCTTCTTGCTCACAATATGAATATCCTGCCATTGCTAAACGGAAAACTTTTCAGTCAACTCACTACTACACACGTTAAAGACAGACAAATGTACACGAATGACAAATGTAACCTAGTCTACATAGCAACACAGCGCCATCTTACGCAAACTTACTTTAAACTTAATAACTCAAAAACGCAGGATATGCTAACATGTTTATATGGACTTTTTGTCCTTGTTTTGGTATAAGGAACCTTCCTTCAAAATTTGTAAAAAGTAGTTTTTACACACACACACACACACACACACACACACACACACACACACACATATATATATATATATATATATATATATATATATATATATATATATATATAATAATAATAATAATAATAATAATGAGGCTTAAACACTAATATTCCATGGTCATAATTTATTCCATTGTATTGTAAAACGATCCAATTCATCAGACCTAAGAATTGAATTTGTAGGTCTGATAAATTGGATCGTATTTACGATTCCAATGGAATAAATTATGACCATGGAATATTAGTGTTTAGGCCTTTTTATCATATCCTTACTCTGTCTCGGACATTGAGTTCTACCTGGATTCTATCCTCTTGGATTTATTTTTTACACAAATATATATGTATGTGTATGCATGTATCGATGTAAATATATATTTTATATATTTTAGACATATGATTGCATATGTATTTGTATATTTACCCTAATATTATATATATATATATATATATATATATATATATATATATATATATTTATTCTATGACTTTAAAACAACATGTAAAAATCGCTATACAATTGCAGTGATGTTTCGACGCATAGCAATACGTCTCCCCAGTCGATTGTAAATTACTGGCGAGTGAACGATTAATTTGGTTTCAAAAGAACAAAACAACCTCTTTTTTCGAAAAACAATAATATTGCTCTACGCTGTATTGAGCCAACTTTTAAATTAATTAAATTAATTAAATTAATTAATTAAATTAATTAATTAATTTAAATTAATTTATGTATGAATCCTCCTCTTCTAAAGCTATGGGTAAATAGCAGAACAGACTGGGTGGTAATCGGTCTAGGAGAAGGAAAAACTCTGAATTCAAATCCGGCCTTGAGAGGTTTGGGTTCCGTCAGGCTATCTTTCCCAAGCAACACCACTTTTACTGCAACAGAAGTGGTGCCCCTACGAGTCACGGGAAAAATATAATATATCACCAGTTTATTTTTAATAGCGATATTCCTACGGAGGTTTTACTAAGCCTAGCTTACGTATAAGATGCACGAAGTCACTCTGTTTGGAAAGTTTGTGAAGAATGGGCTCATTAAATTAACGACTTGGTATGCTTGGCGCTCATTGTGATCTTCGTATACTGAAGAAAAAATAAATACATTAACAGGACCAACTGGAAAAAAACCCCAAAGATTCGAGAACAAGAAAAGTATAAAGAAACAAAGATTATTTTACCTGTATCGGAATCATCAGAAAGACTTTCCCCGTCGTCAGAATAGACACTGAACAATTCGGCGTTGCCTTCGACGTAATCGTTATATCGACGGATACGCGTTGACCAGGAACCGTCAGGACAAGGCACTGTGTTCTTAAGACGCCGACGCACATTAGCGAACCAATTCGATACCTGAGTGAGGGTCATGTTGGAGCCGGCTGCCAGTGACTGCTTCTCGGCTCTGGACGGGTAGGGCTTGTCTTTGTGTCGATATAACCATCGTTTGAGAGGTTTCGACATTTGCTGAAGCGTTTGACGTCGGTAGCGAACTTTCTCTGTGAATATTCTGTTACTGGAAAAGAATAAAGAACAAAAAAAACGTCTAAAACAACATTTATGGCTGCAGAGTTTTTAATTTAAACATTTGGAGATCAGAGATTTTACAAGTACGAAAAAATCAGAAATTCTTCTGTTTCGAAAACAAGGGATATTCTATGTTAAGCTCCAAGCGTTGAAAGGATGTGACTGAGTAAAAAGAACTGAAAAAGCGCATCTAGTTTTGTCAGAATTATAAGGTCACAAGTTCAAATCTTGGCTCAAGTTGTTCATATATTTACGTATGTATTATACTAATTTCTTATTACTGTAACTGTTATTTATAGTAGATGATCTCCTGTAGTCAAATTGGTAACAGCACACTGTAGGAAAAAGGGATATAGGTTCGATCCCTTTCGGGAGGAACGTTTTTCTTACGTGAGATTTCTTGATCTCGGATGGTTGATATTAATTTCATTTTAAGAAAATAAAATAAAGTCGTAATATCAACTCGTGGGTTTGTCTATGGCAGGGTAACTTAACGAAGACCATCCCTCTTCAGTTAGCCTAACCTGTAACTGTTTGCCCAAGCAAAGCTTAAACGCACGCGTGCAAAGTGAATGCAAACAGCCTCGGTCAGAATTTGAACCCTCCACTCAACGATTCCGTTTTCTGTGCTGATAACCGTTACGCCAACCCCACTTTATTAATTTAATTCTTGGTTTGCATAAATAAAAAAAATGTATTATAATATCTTTTTTTTTTGTATACCATTGTTTCCCCCAATGCAAGGCCCAAGAGCAATTCAAGGTAGAGAATTACTGAATGAAGCAGTTGTAAGGGCGTAAAGGGAGAAGAAGGGGATATATTATGTAGGTTATATAGAATAGATAACGGTTGACCCAAAGAATTGAAGAAATTAATATCGTAGTGATCGGAAAAGTATTCTTTCAGAAATCTGTTTAACAGGTTCTGGGAAAGAAGCTCTTTGAGCGGAACTTCCTCCTTACCAATGGAATACGAAGGGAATGAAGATGAGTCGACTCCTATGTACATGGCTTGGCGGGTCTTGGCTGCGAAAGTCTGAACTAATGGTTCTAAGAAATGTAGTTCATCTGAAGATTTGCCATGAAAATAGCGATGGAATAGAACAAAGATTTTGTCAAGAACAAATTATCTGATGGAATTTTTTAGCTTCTTACCATTAGTATCTGTTTATATTTCTGAGATGAGGTATTATGTACACTATTTACATTATTCGGACAATTGTCCTCATCTTTGTCGCCATATTTATTACAACGTTTCGGCCTTTAAGACCGTAATCTTTATCCACTGTGCTATGTGTCCTTGAGGACACATGGCACAGTGGATAAAGCCGTTGGTTAGATCCAGTGACAGAACCCAAAGAGTTTGAGTTCAATACCCGGTTAAGGCAGTAGAGAGGGGAATTAACAGGAGATAAATGATAATTGACATCCATTAAACATGGAACGTGGAACTAGAACAGTCTATTTCGAGCAATATAAAGGGTTCAGTTCGACATTCCAACCACCTGAAGAAGGCCGGAGCGTACAACGGCCGAAACGTTGTAATAAATATGGCGACAAAGATGAGAACAATAGTTCTTACCATTATTATTTCCATGTTTTGTAAATGTCTTTTGATGATTTGACAGAAATGCTTACTTTAGCATGAATGTAAATAACACCTCATATGTATCATATGAAATTTATTAAATTTCAATTTGGTAAATTTGCAGGAATGTTAGATGGAATTCTTGACTTGATCTTTGGAAGTGTGCTGGTCTCATTTCTTCGTTTGTCATGCTCGGTGTCCTTGCTAGGGAATTTCAGAACTACGAAGAGGTCAGAATGGTAGAATGGCTGAAACATGAATTAATGCCAAATAGCAACATTACTTCTCAGGAATATCGAAAGTAGACACTCCTTGATAGTAATATAATCCTCAAACGTTCGGTCTTTACTTCAATTTCGCGCCACAAAATCATTCTATGGCGAAAGGTCACCCTCCGATTCTTCTGCATTTCAAGAAAATGGATTATCCTGCGCCGTTAGTTTCTTTTCATTTGGTTTCTTCTTTTTTTTTTACTATCTCCCTTTCACCACCCCACTCACTCTCTTACTCTCTCTCTCTCTCTCTCTTCTGTTCTATCTAAATACTTACAATGCTTATCATAGTCTGGCACAAGGCTGAAATATTTGGGCGTTAAAATCAAACACGTTCTAGCAACGTTTTTCAAACGATGTTTTCTCACCGTTGCTTGTGAGCAGGAGATATCCCTAGGCATGTTCAACGGAACAAGAATAATCTACCCCCGTAGATTAAAGAATGATCTACCCCCGTAGATTAAAGAATAATCAACCCCCGTAGATTAAAGAAAAAGTTCAGTTCAAAATTTTCTGATGGTTATCCGGATCGACAAGCACGTGAAGAAGGTCAGATGTCACAACAAAGATGAAGATAATAGTCCGAATATAAATAACGATAACTCCGTATCCCAGAAATTCAAACAAGCGAACCACTGTATCTTTCTATTTATTGAGCTTGTCTTAATTCGGCATAAAATCTCATTCTAACATCTAATTGGTATCATGTAATACACCTTTTCTAATGACTTTAAAAAAAAATAATATGGACATTTTTAATGTTCATATTATTTTTCTGGTCGTTCGCCGAAGATAACAGAGGCATAAATTGTTCATTAATTTAAATCACGTTGCAGTTGTTGCGGACCCCCGGAGTGGGGATGAGTTTACAAACATTTAAAAGTAAAAATGAAATGTAGATCTGACAAGTAGCTGGCAGCAGATACCTACGAAATATGGCATTCGATAATTTCTAAATATGGATGCCGGAAGGAGTGTAATGCGCATGACTATTCGGAAGTAGAAGACTGTGGCCATTGGATATTTTTAGTCTGGGTAGACACAGTCAGGATATGACACTCGCATCAGTTTCCAACTAGCGTCCAATTGGCCGACAAAAAGAAAAAAAAGTTGGCTGTAACTTAATACAGACCCCATGTTCAAGTATCCTAGTCAAGTTATAGACCATCCTCCTTTTCTCCGTCCTTTCTCTATTTACCAAGCTCCCCACAAAGCAAGATGTAGCACAAAGCCTGTTTTTAACGTAGGACGTTCCGAGCTCACAGGTTTGCGAAAAATTGCTCTTAGACCCCGTATACACAGGGTCGGATTTGTCTACCCAAACGAGACTCTGCCCTTCGGCATAGCCTCGTTTGGGTTCCTCTCCGCCCAGAGGCAGGGAGAAAAAAAAAACAAAATTGTGGCACAATGCCGAAGGGAACGTGGGGAAAGGCTGGTCTTCACTGACTATTCTAGTCCTAGTTAGTCACCCATTCATTCAATAAAATATATTTGTCTGATTGCGGCGAAGTCACAGATTTTGCAACGGATGCGAAGTTTCATAATTTCTTTATAGCTAATAATTAAACATTGAGTTGTTAAGATTTACTAACAATTTTATGCATTACTCATGTTATATTCCGTGTGAAGGGGAAATAAACACATAACACCAGGTGGATACGAGAAGAAAGGTTTATTGTACACAATAAGTACAATATAAAATATGGTACAGTTATACACACAGGTCAATCTAGTAGTGAGTGCCACTAATTGGAAGATCCGACCTGCTTGCGTCGTCTCTATCACTCTCCTGTCCACTCTCTCGTAGACGGTTGATTTTATAGGCACATGCTACCTATAGTAGGGGTGACTGATTATTCTATTACATCAACTCAAAAGGTGTATTTAGATTGTGCCTCAATAATCAAACATCTACGAAAAAATGTAGTTGACTATTAAATCTAAATGAACTCGTTATGTAGAAAAGGTCAGTGACGCTACGTAGGAAGGGCAAGGTCACGAAATATAATCCGTCCGCCATGATAACATGAACGGAGTAGCGAGGCTCTACGATACAGTACAGAAACGGGAAAAATTGTCGTCTGCCCGTTAAATAATTAAAAAGATTTTTTGAACTTAATACACAATTTTATGTCCGTTAACGCTGGTGTCTTTACTAAAATTGATTTTTTACTTGGTCAAACTTAAATATCTTGTAAAGCATTGTGCTCTGTTAGAATGATTTTTTTTCTTTGTTTTTAAGTCTTAGACATTTGGGGCTTGGATATATGAACTGAAGTCTACATTGTTTTTAATGGTGAAAACATAGACGCAAGGTCTACCGTGTCCACCATTCAGTTGAACAATGCGACAAGACTATATCGGTTCAATTTAATAATTAATTGATAAAAACAACAAAGATTAGGATATTTATTGGGACAGTGAACGAAATAGGGTCATTCATATTCGATATCCGTAAGGTTTGTGATGTCTTATTTGTAACTGCGTTGGGTTAAGTTAAACCTTAACTCTAGGACAGAGAAGAAATAGCCTGTTCCCTTTGTTTCTGACTAATAACGAAACTTTCTTTCATATTAACTATTATTTCCTATTTATTGCCTGTTTTCTGTATGTTTACTCAATTATAAGTTGTTTTGAAGGCGGAAATAGCAAATATAATTGGCTTGAAGACTACGAACTCGTGTCTAAGTAATGGAGTGAAAATGAATTTTCACCGAGAGTTTATTTACCTTTTTACACGCTTCAGCAAATTTAATTGATTTTGTACTAGAGATTCATGAGCAAACAGGATTTTGAATGAGGATTTTGTAAGTAAATATACAATTTCTATTTAGACGACTGGATGTATTATAATTTTCGTTTTCTCATTTGCGCAATTCTCGCTACTTTTGAAAATCTTATTTTGATATTTTTTCTAAATATTAAAAAACAACTCAGTATCTGATTATATATCATGTTATTTTTCTGTTCTTATTTTTGTTACTGGAATTGTTATGAACGAAACTGCTGGCTGCCTTTAAATTCGCCTTCCTATATCTAAAACCCGTGCTACCAATTGGCGTCACAGTAAAAATCAAA